CTGCAGAGCATCCATTGCTGAGACACTGATGCAATGCTACATTTCTACAAATCTGATCAAGCCATGCATAACTAGTATCCTGACCTCTAAGGCCGTCACTGCAGGACATATAGTAAAACACACAAACACAGACACAGACTGTGCACACGCACACGCACACGCACACAAACACGCGCTCGCACACACACACACACAGACACACACACACACACACAGACACAGACTCACACTCACTCACACCATCTCTCTCTCTGTGTGAACTCACATTCTCCCTCTCCTTCATTTCCCTTCTCGAACTTTTACCATTTAAGATGAAAAAGCCAAACCTTAGTCTATTTCAGGCCCACAAATATGCTGGGTCACAATCCAAAAATCTGTTTCTGATACAGATGTGGTGAGCAGGGAAAATATTGAATGAATAACTAACATGGACAGTGCATGAGTTATTCAAGTACAAGTCAAACCTATTTGTGTAGAGCTGTTCACTATACATATTGTTTCAAAGTAGCTTTACAGAAAACCAGGTTGTTGATATATTAAAAAAATAAATAAATAAATAAAAGATGATGAAATATCAAAATTATAATATTTTCATGCCTTATAGTCACATTTTCTAGATAAGAGCTGTATAAGCAATCACACAGACCACATTTGCTATATAACATAAATCACTTAATTCCTTATCTGGTGAAATGGAGAATTATGAAAGATCATGACAATTTGGTGAACTGATGAGCCTAATTTCTATTTGGTGGTGTGTATCACTGACACAGTTAAATGGTGCATATAAATGACAGGATATTTCGTATTTTGCATCTCTCACCCCAAGCGGTTTAACTGAGGACTGAAAGTAGTCATGGCATAACACTTATGATGTGCGAGGCACAGTGTGTCAGGTCTATATTTAGTCCCCTAGTGTTCAGGCCAAAGGCAGCTGTGGCAAGGAACGAGAAAACTCCATTTGATTTTGGATAATGGTATGTGGGGGTGTGTTAGAACGAGCCGTTTTAGGTAGGCGTGGCTGACTCTTAACTTTTATAAAAAATATCTCTTTGGTTTTGAGACTTTAGTCTTTGCAACTTTACAGATCTTCTTTATGCACCAAGAGCTTGTAACACTCCAAAGAGAAAGGAACAATTGAAATCGCATCATATGACCCCTTTAATGATTTCAAGCAGATATAAATTATATAGCAAAAGCTCTAATAAAATCAACGACACTTTAGTCCAGGGGTCACCAACTGATGGACTCCAGTCCCAATCTGGACCGTGAAGCCTTTTGACATCATGAAATAAATAAATGCCAAACGCTGTTTTCTAATAAAATCTAATGTATATCAAGCACATCGAGGTCAGCCCAGCAGAGCCGTTTGGGTCCTACGGTGCCATTAAAAGTCTTAAATGGTATTTAAATGGGATTTCAGGAGGTCTTAAATTTGGGGAGGATAGACGAGAATTGCGATAGGGCTGAATGTGACGATTAAACTTCAAAAGGCTGTGATTTCATTGAATAAACATGAGCTCTGCTGTTACCGGGGAAACCACTGTATTTCTGCTGTTTTGACAGCGCCTCCTGCTGGCAGAGAATATGGAGAATAAGTTTTTGTTCAGACCAATGTGAAAATCAACCCATGTTTTTACGCAGCAAACACGCAGGGCTGTAAATGTGAACTGGTGGATCCACAAGAAGATAATGCATTATAATAATCTAAACAATTAAGACAGTAAAACATATATTTATTTTATTTAATTAATATAATAATATTTGATAATCATTGTTTAAATTAATAATAATTGATACTTTTGACTCCATTTTCTTTAAAAAAAATGGTTTAAAGGCTGAAATGTAAAGTTTATATAAAACTTTTAGTTTTTGTGAAAACCTGTGTCTGAACTGTAAATCATGCTTTTTACAGTCATTTTAATTTTATTTGTGCAGGTCTTAAAAAGGGTCTTAAAGTCTTAAATTGTGTGTGTGTGTGTG